CTCGCAGTTCCTGACGGACAGATGTCAGTAAATGGCGCACGCAATGGTGGAATGCGGTTCATGTTGTTTTGCAATCTTGACGAGATTTGTTGAGCTAAGGGGAAAAGGGGAGTGGGTTCCTCGAGTAAGTGTTTATGAATTTGGGCTTGCAGAGCTTGTGGTGTACACATACCGATCTGATCCTACCATGAACACGTTGGGGTTGACGGCAAGATACTTGCCATTTCCACATCCAATGTCTAGCCCGACCGCACCATCTTTTTGCTCTTTCAAGAAGCGTTCAACAATCGGCCATGGCTAATTATTGTTTTGGGGTCAGCTTTTTCTTGCTCTTGGGACTGCAGTTTGCGAGATGTGGGTGACGCACACCTTGTATCTCGTTGATGAAAAATGATGGGCTATCTCCTCGTACACCGAGTGGACATGCTGGGCTTCATAATCTGCTCCTCGCTCATTCGAGTCTGCCATTGGGGTTTACTGGGACCGTGTCGAGTGACGTAGGAACAACGGGTGCTTCATGATGAGGAATTTGCCAAAGAAGGCGCCAAGGCGCCATCGCAGTTAGCGTTCACCTTACCACAGCCCACCATTCATTCAGTAGGAATATATACATGGAGCTGTGACCGCCAATAAGGACCAAAATCAAGGTATAGTATACCGGCAACGTACGGGCTTGTCGGAGTGGATCATGATGCTTACGAATGGCACACAGATTGAGGGTAGTTTCACTAGACACCAAAGAGGTAGAGTCACGATGCTTACTTAGTACTCAGGCTTGTTTTGCAGCAAAATACAAATACATCAGCCATCTTGATTATCAGGCGCTACTATCTCACTGCATTGAGATATTATCAAGCAATCGTTTGACAACTGATCGTACAACACAAAGCAAGCTTGGGCAAAAAGACCCTGTGTGGCGCACCGCTACTGGCGGACAAGGGTATCATGCATCATATCAAAAGCTCCACGGCTCATTTTTTCTTCCCCTTGGTCTTGTCCACAATCTCTACCCAAGATTTATTCACACCTCGCTTTTCGAGAGCCTTCAAGATAGCGTCCTTTTGTGGCCCCTGTACCATGACCTCCATGACAGGAGCTTTCGGACTTGATCCCTGGAGTTTGTCGATGCTAGTGCTACCCGCACAGGTCTTTCGCAGCTCATCAGCAAGTGGCTGAGGTGCAATGTGGTAGGGTTCCAAGCCGTGAACTTTGGATACCGTTTTGTTGCCGCTGCGGGTTTCCAGTGTGATCTGAATTTTTGGTGGCGCGCCAGCCTTGGGCTTACTGTCGTTCAAGTCGGCACCGTTGCGGAGGATGGCGTGGAAAGGTGATGCAGCAGCAACCATGCGTTCAGCTAACGCATCGCGTGCCATCACGCCCGTCGTCAAGGCGGCATTATCTGCTGCAGAAGTGCCAAGGAGAGCATCGGCGATTTGTGGGTTGATCTTGATCATCCGTTTGTTTTTCGAGTCGACCAGATTTTCTGATTCAGCATATGCTATGAGATGTTGTCGGAGCTCTGCAGGTGTGTACAAGCCGCGCGGGTCGGCTTTAGATGCCTCTAAGATGGGATGGATTTTGTCTTTCGGACGTAGCAAGGAGACTACACGTAGTGTTTGGCCAACTGAAGACTGTGAAGTTGCCGATGTGGTCGTACCGCCACTCGCGTTCCCGGCGGTGGATGCGTCCTTCTTGGGCAACTGGTACGGGACGAAAGCCTCTATCCGACGATCTTTGAAATCGATATCCATGATGACAACTTCATTCCCGTCGCGATCCTTGGTCTTGACTATCTTTTGCTTGTCCAGGTACTTGATGAACTTGCGTAGATTCTTCCAACTCGTCTTTTTGATTTGGAGCGAAGATGTTCGGGCGGGCGTGTAGGTCGGGAGGAAAGGCTGGACGAGCTGAGACATGACGTGTGATTGTGAAAGAGGAAACTCGAGGCCGTGGGTGGGATGATCCCGATTGGCGTTCATGTGGTGTCGGACACCAAATAAGAAGGCATTGACAAAGGCCTCGTCGATTTCTGTCGTTGTTAGTAGGCGGCCACACGTGGAGGAATATGGAAGAGCTACCCTTTGTTGTCAATTCCTTGTCATCGATGATGTCTATAAAATCATGGTTAGAGGGAGCGTCTTCGCCCTCGACGCCTTGTCTCTGCTCCGCCTCGGACCGCTCATCAGGACCAGCCTGGAGGGAAACACCGCCTTCATCGTCAAGATCGATGGCTGCCGTGCGCTCCACTAAACTCGCCTCGTCGGCTGCTTCTTCATCCCAGGCTGGGATGAGGTCTGGAGGGTCACGGCCCGGCTTGCCAGTGGCACTCCACGCCCAGAGCTCATCGCCAGCCCAGTGGAAGGTGGAGACGGCCTGGCCTTTGACGCCCTGTACCTGGTCCAGCCCGCTCACATCAATCTCGCATGTGCCTACTGCCATGGGCACTGTAGGGGCCTCGAGGCTCGCAATAGCAACCACGGCACCCTTAGTGGCGCCCTTGGGGAAGGGCGGGCCACGCTGTAGGCCCGGTGTCATGAGGTCTGCGCCGCCTTGCAGCTTCTCGACGACGGCGAGCGGTGTGTGCAACAGAGGCACGATGCGCGGATTGTGCCAGAGCGTGTAGACGGTGGGGTACATTTTGTCGGTGACCTTGACCCATAGCACACGCGGGTGGCCCTGCGTGCCCTCGTGGCTGCCCACATAGATGGTTCCCGATACCTGCTTGAGGTCTGGTCCCGCCGTCGTCGTGAAGCGGGCGCACAAGGCATTTTCTGGCAGCAGCGACCTGCGCAGGGCGGTCAGGGCAGGCGAGGGCGCAGCCTTGTCTTCTGTAGCTGGAGTGTCGCCGGCGGCATCGTCGTTGGTATCGCCATGAACGGGTAACTGGATGTTGAAATCGGCGATAATCTGATCGGCGGTGCGACGGCGCTCGCTGGACTTGAGCGGGCTAAGTGGCTTGATCTGCAGTCGCGGGTGTTAGCCGTGGGACATGGCCTGGAGAAGACGGGGGGAGGTGGGGGGGAAGGGGGGACATACGCACCGTTGGCTTCTTCTTGAACATGATGACGGAAGGTGGTGAATGGGAAATCGCCCCTTTCTAGCAGGGAATTGACGCACCAGGCGTGCCAAAATGTTTACAGACGAGGGCGAGTGGGGGAGGGGTGGTGTGGCCGGACAGTATAAGTTACAACTACATCGTCTCAGCAGGCTTACCGGTAGACGGCAAACTGTAAGACCTGAGGGCTAGGCCATGCCCCGCATGGCCTATGCAGCCCAGGACTTGTAAATTACTACATATGACGTAAAGGCACATCTTTACATCCTTTAGCTCATGGCGCTATCAACTTTGTTAATCGTGAAGTCTTCTATAATTATTTGTCTCGTGTACGGTGTATATACTAACACAGTGGTGTCAGTAACACTGCGCAGTGATATCATCCTCCTCTTTCAACACTGAACACCCATAAGAGTGGGGCTCTCTAAGACGATCAGTCGCATTCATAGCGCTTGACTTGAAGACGTCAATCAACCAAGGGCGCGCTGGCTTCAGTCTATTTCACCTCGACTTTGGCCCATACGGCTCCATGACTGGTAATGTAACGCCAGGTACCAAATCTCTTCGCGATGGATGCGTGCGATCGCTCTCTTCATTGCACACTCCTGGTCTTACCCCTTCAGTGCCTTCAACAGCAACACCGATATTGCCAACGATGGGGTTTGATTCTTGACCCGCCTGTACGAGACACAAGCCGCTTATCATATCCCTTGAAGGCGCATGCCATGTCTCACTGAATCCAAGATGAGAGGCTGTCGCATGATGTGATTCCACTTCCCATTGAGCAACGTGTGGTACTCCTGAGATAGCTGAAAATCGGCCTTGAAGAGGGATATGGATTTGTCGAAAAAATGGTTTGCCGTATTGCCACGTTGTTTCGCATAAAGCGCGTTCTTCGCGCGACATATTTGGAGCGACACATAGATGTGCGATGCTCTGATGGGATGTAGAATAAGTTGGAAGAACGACGGTCTAAGACCTGGGAGGACTCGAGTATATAGCATTTCGGCGTCGTTGAGCAGCGCCTGCCAGCTGGACAGAATATTGTCCGCCTCTGAATAGTTGATGAGCGAAAAGGTCTCCGGTGCAATATGTTCATGTTTGCGCAGCGCAATCAGCCTGTCGTACTTGAGCAGGAGGTCTGTAGAAGGCGCCGCTAGCTCGGCCCCAAAGGTGCGGGCAGTGAACGAGCTGATGCCAAACCTTGGCAAGAGAGTTGCTGTTCAGCCACTTGTAGCTTCTCGGTTCCCCGACGTACTCGAGGTGATGGTATAACCCTGCACCGCCTCTTCGCGTTCGCTCTGTGTCAGTTGGAAGCCTTCGAATCGTTCCGAAGTTATCGTTGGCAAAGAGAAGTGTCACATCTTCCGGAATTGCGAGTCCATTCTCGTAGTACTCTTGCACTTCCTTGTATAGCGCGATCACTTGAGGTACTGCGTCTTCTCTTCCGTAAACGTCTTTGATGATGCGTCTCTGCGTCGACAAGACCTCTTCCAGTAGCTCTTGTGGATTCTCACCATCCATCTCTCGGTCGCCATCACCGCGCATGCCGATTGTAATCACACCCTCAAAACGAGTCGCTCGTTGCGCCCCTTGAACAAAATATTTGCTAATCTTCTCTTTATTCCTTATCCAGCTCCAGCTCTGCTCTGGCCCATAGTACGGCTCATCAAACCACTCATTCATCGCTCGCTGCATCGGTTCATGATGCGAAGTAGATATCACGACTCCGTACTTGTCAGCAAGCTCCTGCTCCGGTACCGGTAAGCCTGGAAGCTGGGGAAAGAGTACGCTAGACAGCAGCAGGATTGGGGAATGCAGGCACCAGTCACGTGCAATCTCTCTCTGCGGGCGCATGTGTGACCCCGGCAGCCTGGCCGTGAGCTTCGTTGCACGTGCGAGCTGTCTTTCAACCCAAGGCCATCCCAGTGTTTCACTCTTGTGTGCCACGAGGTGGGACAAAGAAACGGGCATCTCCCGCACAACCAGGCTTGCCAAGAGCCATTTCTCACTTGGGAACCTTCCTTGGATCCCCCTCGTAAGGGCAACGTCAAGTCCCGGCCCTGGGTCGATGTGCTCACGGTACCCTGAAGATCACATCTTGCCCCCAATCGCTTTCCCACTGTCAGCAGTCTTCGTCTGCCGCTTCAAGCTTGCTTACCTTGATGCATGGCACACAATCCATCGGCTCAGTTGCCTTGGGTCGACCGTGACGGGTACCGGTACAAGCAACAGTTGGGCGCCACAAAAGTATTGTGTTTGTTCACCTTCCTGGAGTCCAAGTTGTCACATGTATCCCAAATAGATCACTGCAGCACAGGTGGCACCAGTGTCAGAGCATGCTCACCCTCAAACAAAAGGCAACAAGTGTGGCCAGGTGCTTGTCAGCCTACGCCCCGCATCCTTTCACTGGACATGTCGGGCCGGCGCAGGGCTGCAGGGCGTGGAGCATCCCCGCCGTCGACGTCGTTGCGGCCTGCCGGCTGGGCCAAGACTTCGTCGCGACTTCTAGCAACCCGTGGACGAGTGAGGGTACGAGCTGCGTACGGCACGGAATTCCATCTTGCCTGTAACAGGACGTAGCGCATTGGGAACTCGCCTGGTGGCGCCCCAAGTCTTCGAACCGCACCCTGGCCCTCCCCCAGCGTCATGGCAGAAATGCGGAGAACAGGCGACCGCCAGTGGGACCAAACACCTTGTTATCCCGTCAGACCTGTGTTACTGGCCGCGCCCGTTTAACAAACCCCCTTTATATCGTCTGCTGTCGCCTCTACCATGCTATCCATTCTGAGAGCGCATATGGAAGTGTCTTGAGCCTGACATCACTTTTGCGCGCTGCTGCCTCGGCATCCGGCATCCGTACATCGAAAACTCTGTTTGCCATGAGTCCAATTCCCGACGTTGACTGGCATCGTGGGGAAGTCGTCCAGAAACCGGAGAATGGAGAGGACCTCGTGCTGGAGGCATGGGCCCAAGGCTTCTTGGTGGGCTCGCTGGTCATCATGTCCTTCATCACACTGGCCAACATGAGACGGGGTGTTCTCCTCCACAAGGTTCGTCGTGTCTTTCCCCTTTGAAAGTACTCCATAGCTGACCAAAGTCTAGTTGATTTTGCTCGAGTTGATTCTTGGTCTGTGGCAGGGCTTTTGGCTATTTTTTCGATCACCAATCCATGCATGGTGGCTCTCCGTCGCAGCCATCTTTCTGAACGCTTCCTGGTCGCTCCACAACGTCATTGCCTGGATGAAAATGAAGCCCTTTCTTTCCAGAAGGGTCAGCCTCGTCTTCATCGGCACCGTCATTCTCGCACAGCCCTATTGGGTCTTGGAGATTTATGCCAATTTCGCCTACTTCCACGGTGTAAACAAACTCTTCCTGCAGACGCGGCCGTGGGAAGCCTTGTGCCGCGATCCATGGTGGATATTGACGACCATGTATCTATTCTGGGTCATCAAGACGCAGTACGAAATGACCATCCAGGAGATTGTACGCATTTCTCCCCGGTTTGGCATTATGCTATTGGCCATGCTCTTGAGCATCATCTTCATCGTCCTCGACATCCTCGCCGTCACAGGCACCTTGAAGCTTCCAGGCGCCACAGGCATCAACCCCTTTTGGAAATTCGCATTCGTCTTCAAGTGTCTCACCGACTCGGTTGTACTGGACGACTTCAAAATGGCGCTAGATCGCCTACGGGCCTTCAAGATCAGCCGACTAGGCAGCTTCTCGGGAGACTTGAGCGATAGCCGCAGTCGCAACGACGGAGGTCTTGTAGCGACCTGGGAAGAAATGGAACGCGAAGCCAATGCACTGCAACAAGTCCGCAGTCCCGACGGCGACTACATCCATCCCAGCAACTTCCCCTTTAAACCCAAACGGGCACATCGAGCGCACAAGGACTCGGTCATCACACCCGATACCATGTACCTTTTCGACGCGAATCTAGGACGTGATCCTGAAGATATAGTGCCTAGTGCACTTGCTGATGTACCTCCACCACCACCACCACCACCAGCAAATGACATTCACCCTGCGCAAAAGCTGCAATCCATAGAAGACTCGGATAGCCACAAGTCGCGGGACATGGTTGCGGAGAATGATTATGCAGAAGCAATGAGGGACATGCAACGGCATAGTGTTTCGACACCCCGTCGAACAAGTAACCAACCGCATGAGCATTGACGGTACATGTATAGATTTGACTATATAACTATATAAATAAATTCGTTTCCATTGCCCCAAGTTTCGAAACTTGACATGCTCCCGTCTTCCCAATGGCCCCGCACTTCCAAGCCCTCTACATCAGATACACTATTCCACCATGCGCGATTTTGCCGGCTCTATTCATAGCATCGCAAGTATACCATAGTACCTACTACATATACACGTCTCACATTACCAGCAGCAGCAGCAGCAGTGATAACCATGCATGCGGCCCCAACATACTCCATGTACACCACCCCATTGTAAATCAACCCGCGACAGACGCCACCTGCGCCCACCGGACCAATCACTTTCCACGCGCGAGCTTCTTTCGCTTTTTACCGTGCAGAGTCCACGGGGCCTGCGCTCGCTGGGACTGCGAGCCGCGGTCCTCTACGTTGGCATGTTGTATGTTGTATGTTGTATGTTGTATGTTGTATGTTGTATGTTGTATGTTGTATGTTGTATGTTGTATGTTGTATGTTGTATGTTGTATGTTGTATGTTGTATGTTGTGGAAGCCGCAGTGAGCGGGCGTGTGTACGCAAGTAGGTATGCATGTGTGCATGTATCTTTCCCCAGTACCAATATCCCCTTGTCCAGGCTAACTAGCCTGGTACAGCTTGTA